TCCTCCCTCCTCAAACATATTCAAGATAGGATCCCCCTTGTCCTCATTTTCCACCCCACCAGCCTCCGCATCCAACGTATCATCCTCAAACACTTCCACCAACTCCAATCAGACGCCACCGCCCAGCACATCTGCCACTCCCCACCCCGCTCTGCCTCCTACAAGGACCATTCCCTTTACCACTCCTCAGTTCATGCTACACTCCCCACCAATCACTCCAAACAACACCACCCCCCAAATACCTTCCCCGTAAAAGATGCAACACCTGCTCACACACCACCTCCCCTCCTCCATCCAGGGCCATAAACAGTTCTTCCAGGTCAGACAGAGCTTCACCTGCATCTCCTACAACCTAGTCTACTGCATCCGGTGCTGCCAATGTGGTCTTCTCTATATCGGGAAGACCAAACGTAGACAACTGTTTTGCCGAGCATCTTCACCTGGCCCATAACAGCCAGCCTAACCTTCCAGTCACCGCCCATTTCAATACCCTCCCCACTCCCCCTCCGACATGTCCGTCCTTGGCCTCCTCCAGTGTCGCAGCTATTCAGAACGCAAATTTGAGGAACAACACCTAATTTTCTGCTTGGGCACCCTACAGCCCAGAGGACTCAACATTGAGTTCTCTAATTTCAAATAACCTTCCTACACAACCCTGGCTCCCTTTCCAGACCCATCTCCTCCCTTCCATTCCACCTACTGACTCTCCCTTCCAGCTACCAAACGGATTCATCCCTCCCTTCAACAAACCAGGTCGTACTTACTACTGGTGCCCACCTGTCACCACCATTCCACTATGCCCCTCACACCCCCTGTATCTGCAGCTCCCCCTACCCCCATTTCCAGTCCTGAAGAAGGATAATATCTGAAACATTGACTTCTCCTTTCCTCCAGATACTGTGTTCTTCCAGCCTCCTGTTTATCTACCTTGGATTCCAGAATCTGCAGTCTTTTTTGTCTCTAGTACAGTTGCCACTTGGTTAATGGTCACTTCTCAAAAGTTATTTCTAAAACTTTCATACTCTTCAGATTATTACAATGAACTTATTTAAAAGATAAAAGTCTAGCATGATATCCCAATGGCTTGTTTCACTTAGAAAGCCAAAACTGAGGTCTGACAAAAAATTGTGTCAAATATGGTCCTCAGCAGGTTGTTGCAAAGACATAGCAACTTACACTCCAAGTTAAAAATAATTTATAATTGGAGGTTCCCAGAAACAGGTTTTCAATTTGTTCAAAAAGCAAATGACTGCAGTTGATGCAATTTAATTTTAATTGAAATCCAAATTAATCACATTTAGATGAATTGAGAAGCCTTTTAGCAGATGTGGCACATAAGTCATACAACAAAACCCAATACGACTGCCTCTGGCAACTACCAGCTTGTTTGAAAGATTATTGTAATTAGACACTCTTTTTTTTGCTGGAGTCCTGACATCACTTGAAGAAGAAAATGACTGATCCATGACCTGTAATTTGCAATAAGTCATAAAGAAAATATCCACAAGCAGGTGGCAAGTGAATACCCACACATTGCATGATTCTTCCAACTTCATCTTCAGTGAGGATACAAAAGGCATACCAAACACACACCAGCAAAATGGAATGCAAACTTCACTGCTAAGAACTGGAATGAAGAATCCATTTCAGTTTTACAAAGAATAAATCAACCAGATTACCTTCAACCTCTCCTGTATATGCTGGACATGAACAATAACCGAAAGAAAAAGGGGTCTTGCGGCCAGCACTAAAAATAACTTGCAACTGCAGTTATCTTTTCATTAGTAAGAATCAGTACTGAAATTCTCATTTTATATTAAAAAAATCTATTGCAGAAAATTTAACTGGGGATATAAACCTTTAAAAAATACATATTTGGCAACAAAGAGAATGAAGTTGACATGAAAGACGCTGGGAAGTATTGTAATGGTTGAACAATGAAAAACTGACCCCACCGTAGATGTGGACAATAAGGGATGAAAAGGTGCTGTGGCCCCGATAGTTCATCGATGTGGATCAAAACAGTCAAGTTAGTAAAGCTAAAGTAATTAGCTAATTTGCTGCATGAAGTAATAGGCAATGCAAGGTGGGAGATAGGAACCAAACCGGTTTAAAGAAGACATATCCCTTAATACCTTTGTTTAACAAAAATGCATCTTAGATTTAAATTAACAACTGATCGAGCATCCATTGTCATTTGAGGAAGACAGTTCCAAACCTCTCCTATCCTTCGTGTATCAGATGCTTCCTAACATCTAACCTCAATGGTCTGGCCCTAATTCTCAGACTATGCCCCTAGTTCTAGAATATCCAATGAGTGGACCCTGTTATTTCCTGTTACTATCTTGAAGACCTCGATCAGATCACCTTTTAACCTTCTAAATTCAGGAGAAAACAGGCCTAATTTGTGTAATCTCTCCTGATAACTTAACCCCTGAAATCCAGGAATCATTCTTATAACCTAAACTGTCCTCCCTCCAAGGCTGATGTATGCTTCTAAGGTGTGGTCCCAAGATCTGCTCACAGTACTCCAAGTAAGGTCTAACTAGGGTTTAGCATAACTTCAGCATAACTTTTGCATCCTTGTGCTCCAGTCCTCTAGATATAAATGCCCACATTCCATTAGCTTTCTTGATTGTGTCACTCACTGCAGAATTCCTAACTTCTGACCTGCTCTTATAGTCAATGTCTGTATGGCTGGTCCTATTCAGTTTCATGGGAATGATAACTTGCAGGTTGTTGATAGTGGGGAATTCAGTGATGGGATTGCCATTGAACATAAACACTTTCATGGCACAAATATTACTTATCATTTATCAGTCCAGGATGTTGTCCAGGTCTTACTACTTAAGTATAACTATATTCATTATGGTAAATTTAGGACTACTCACAATATTGTGCAATGAACAATCAATGGTTAAAGAGATGGCACAGAAAGAAGGTTTCTGGTTTCTACATTGCTGAAACAAGTTCTGGGAAAGATGATAACACTACAGATGGGAGATCATTCATCAGATTCAGATCAGTGGTTAGCACTGCTGCACAGGAACCCGGGTTCGATTCCACCCTCGGGCGACTGTCTGTGTGGAGTTTGCACGTTGTCCCCGTGTCTGCGTGCGTTTCCTCCGGGTGCTCCGGTTTCCTCCCGCGGTCCAAATACGTGCAGGCTAGGTGGATTGGCCATGCTAAATTGCCCATAGTGTTCAGGGATGTGTAGATTAGGTGGGTTATAGGGGGATTGGTCTGGGTGGGATGTCTGAGGGTCGGTGTGGACTTGTTGGGCTGAAGGGCCTGTTTCCACACTATAGGGATTCTATGATTCTAGATCAGAACCAATGTCTTTGCAACAAGGATGAAGGGAAGGTTAAGAAATGAATAATATAAAGAAGACATGGTACAAAACAAGGACCGGTGCACATAATTCTGAATACTATCAACAGAAGGTTCATAGTAAAAGGATATGGAGCATCCAGAGAAGTAATGACAAGGCAAATGAAGATATTAACTTTGGGAATGAATGACTAAAATGCCTCAAGTTCAAATGTGCACATTCAAAGATTCTACCAAAGACAGAGACTCAGATTCCGTCAGCATTATGAGTAGGATAACTGAGGCGATCTTGATCAATGCTAGAATAAGGTGAAAACACTGCAAATGGGGCAAACAACGTAATCATTAGACAAGGGGAATCTACACAAATTCTGGGTCCAGAGGGAGAATGGGGCCAATGAAATTAAAGAAGCATACAGAGGAACAGATGAAGCAGCTTTAAGTGATAAATTAAAGTCAAGGTATGAAAACATGATTCTGTAAACAATACTGAATTCTAACATGGATAATCAAATTACTATGTGAAAGGGCCAATTCCGTGATTAATATTATGTAGCAGACAGTAAATGAAAGAACATGAGCATTTGTACCAACATTAGGAGAACTACCCCACCAAAGGGGGCGGGGCAACAGATTGACATAGTAAAATTCCACAGGATTGTAGCAATGTGCCAGCATTGCAGAATCTTCCATCATCATCCATGGTGTTTCCTAGCCCATCAACAGTGGACAGTAGCAAGATGAGGTCATATTAGAAGACATAGAGGTGGCAATTCTCAACACTGACCCTCGTTGCCTCGTGTTCAGCTGAAACTACCACACAGTACTACATGCATACAAAACATAAAATCAATATTGCTGGCTACAGACAGAGCTAAGCAGGTCCACAAGTATGGCATCACAACAAAACCTCTACCCTAACTATATCTAGTCAAAAATGGTGATCGACAACCAGTCAACTAGTGAGAGGAGTGCATGAACATGATTGTCACAATAATAGAACCCAACATAAGGCTGGATTGCAAGTAACTTTATTCCAATAATGCCATGGAGACCTTCATATCTTGATGGGCAAAGGAATCAAGGGTTATGGAGGTGCAGACAGGAAAGTGGGGTTGACAATGAGACTGAAGTACAGAGGGCATACTTGAATGAGGGGGAGAAGGCCATTCAGCCCTAAGTCCCAACTTGGCTTACTCCTCCCAAGGGCCCCCACCATCACAGATGCCAGTGTCCAGGGCAAACTGGTCCAAACAGAGGGCAACAGAGCCTGGTCATGGCAACGCCCTGAAAACCAGATTCCCAACGGATGTTCCAAAACGTTGTTTTTTTAGGGGCGGGGAGAACCACCAGGAGAGAAAGCTTTAACAAAAAAACAAATCATAAGACAATAAACTAAAAGGATCACTGGCCTCGAGACATTAACTCTTGTTTCTCTGTCTCCACAGACGCTGCCAGACCTGTTGAGTTTATCCAGCAATTTCTCTGTTTTTATTTCAAGCTTGCAGGGAATGTGAAACTTAAAGGGGGAAAAAAAAATCAAAACAGAGAGGGACAGAGGAAAATGCTGGAAATGTTCGGCAGGAGGGGAAGAGGGAGAGAAAGGGAGAATGTTTGAGGCCAGGGCCCATGTGGAGGACCATCCTGACAGAGGCCAGGACTCTACTCACTCAGGTAGTCCTCTGCCGACATTGAGAAACGGTCCGCGTTCATCCTCCCGCCCAGGACAACAACGAGGGACAGAGAGAAAATCCGCCGTTTTCTCCTCACCACCTACAACCCGCACCAGCTTCTGCTGTTACCATAACAGCAGCCCTCTCCGGAAACGTGCCACCCGCAAAAGATTCCCCCTCTCAACACTCCAGGCCCTGAGCTATGGTTCCTGTTGTGAGAGGAGCCTGTCGAAGTCCCAGCTACCTATCTGCTCAGGAATCTCACTCCAGTGTGCTGCAAAGATGTGCACAGCTCGGGTTTAAAACACAAATAAACCTCCCCCCCCCTCCAAACTAAAGGTTTCATTCGCCGTTTTTTTAGAAAGCATAGCAAAAGTTAACTTGCTGTCTTGCATTCAATTGCATGTCCCACACAATACTAAAGTACTTCTGCAAACTAAGACTGGTAGCAATGGGAGCCCAGATGCCAGAAAGGGAGAGAGTGAAAGACAGGATGAAGGGCTTTCCAATTGGGAAGGGAGGTGGCAAAGCAAAACATTTAAGCAGGGAATGCCAGTGGCTGCTCCAGAAGAACTGATTTCACCGATGATGTATAGCACAGTTTCAGAGAAAGTGGTAAGAATGTAAGATGAAGGAGTCTATAATAAGGTGGACTGGTAAGGTCTGCTGCAGGGTATCTCAGGTACCTCTGCCAGTTATAGGTAGGGCTAATGGCAAGGAAAACCTTCCCACAGTTGCTAGTGAAAAATGGACAGCTGATTACAGGATATTGTATGAATGTGGGTCTTCATTTACCATGCCCCACTTTTTTATTTCTCAATAAAACCAGCAGAGGGTAACTGAGAAGGAGAGGCATCACTTTGGTGAATACATTAGAGCCTGGAAGCAGTCACCTGCACTGAAGAGCAGATTGTCTGTGATTAGCAGGAGAAAGAGCATCCATCAGAGGGTGACAGAGAGAGAGATGCATCACATTGGTGCCAATGCTGGGGCATAGTGAGGAAAGGGTAAAGGTAAACAGAAACAAAACCAAAGTTGTTGGAAAAGCTCAGCAGATCTGGCAGCATCTGTGAAGGAAAAAACAGAGTTAATGTTTTGAGTCCGGTGACCCTTCCTCAGAACTAGAAACAGAAAGGTAAACAGAACCTTAGTGATGGGAGACTTGATACTTAGGGGAACAGACAGGAGATTCTGTGGCCACAAACGGGAATTCAGGATGGTGTGTCGCTTCGTGGATGCCAGGGTCCAGGATGTCTCAGAGCGGCTGTAGAACATTGTCAAGGGGAGGGGTGAGCAGCCAGAAGTAATTGTGTACGTTGGCACAAATGACATAGGTAGAAATAGGGATGAGGTCCTGCAGAGTGATTATAGAAAGCTAGGAAAAAAGTTAGAAACCAGGACTTCGATGGTGGTAATCTCTGGTTTACTTCCAATGTCACATACTAGTGAGGGTAAGAACAGGAGGATATGGCAGATGAATGTGTGGCTGAAGAATTAGTGCAGGGGGTAGGGATTCAGATTCCCGGATCATTGGGACCTTTTCTGGGGCAGAGATGACCTGTTCAAGAGGGACACAACTAGCGGGCAGATTTGCTAGCATTGCAAGGGAGGGTTTAAACAAGATTGGCAGGGAGGTGGGATCCTCAACAGCAAGGAGGTAAATGCGAGGCTGGAAGGAGATACAGTGGGCGCACAGTGGGTCAGTGGTTAGCACTGCTGCCTCACAGCACCAGGGACCACCAAGTTCGATTCCAGCTTTGGGCAACTGTCTGTGTGGAGTTTGCACATTCTCCCCATGACTGTGTGGGTTTCCTCTGGGTGCTCCAGTTTCCTCCCACAGTCCAAAAATGTGCGGGTTAGATGGATTGGCCATGCTAAATTGCCCACAGTGTCTAGAGTGGGAAATGCAGAGATAGGGGAGGCATTGGGTCTGGGTGTGATCCTCTTTGGAGGGTCGATGTGGACTTGATGGGCCGAATTGCCTGCTTCTACACCGTAGGGATTCTATGATTCTAATTGGAAATAGCAATTTGAAAGGACAGGTCAGGGGAATTGAAGACTTGAGGGAATCAGTTTAAGGGAATGGGGAAAGAATATATGCGAACCTGAGAGGCAACTTTCTTACACAGAGGGTGGTATGCATATGGAATGAGCTGCCAGCAGAAGTGGTTGAGGTGGGTACATTAACAACATTTAAAAGGCATTTGGACAAATACATGGATAAGAAAGGTTTAGGAGAATATGGGCCAAATGCAGGGAAATGGGTTACAGCGCGTGGACATTTTGGTCAGCATGGACAATTTGGGCCAAAGGAATGGTCTCCATTCTGTAGGACTCTATGACTTTTGAGAATGTTTTAAACTTTAAGTTAACAGAATTTTTATATCTAGAGCTATTGGTTCCATAGTCAGGAATCATTCAACCTGTGTTTTTTTTTGTTCTCTTTGTACATTTACTGTACTATGTTTTTTATGTCAAATTTGCATTTATATATCACCATTCATGGCCATTGAATGTCCCAAAGCACTTAACAGTTAAAGGAGTACTTTTGAAGTGCACGGTTGATTATAATATAGAAAATGCAAGTCATATTGAGAACAGCAAGCTCCCACAAGCTGCAAAGTGATGATAATATATTTTTGTGATGTTGATTGGGGAATTACTTCAAGACAGTACCGCACATGCACCACTCCTCCACTACTGCTCTCGAGTGATTTAAATACTATGCTCAATTTTGGAGTGGGACTTGAATCCATAACCTTCGTACACACAGGCAAATGTACTTGTAACTGACCACAGCGAAGTACTATCGTGCAGAGTACTATTTCAAAACCAACCAAACAAATCATTTTCCACATTAGAAAAAAAGATAAGGGCATCAACACATCTTTTAACATTTAAGGCTGTTTCCTTCTACATTACTTTGTATTATGCATTATTAATGCAATAATTAACGAATTGGAATCAACATAGCTGAAATCATAAAATCATGGAATCCCTACAGTGCGGAAGCAGGCCATTCAGTCCATCGAGTCCACACTGACTCTTCGAAGGGCATCTCACCCAGACCTAACCCCCAACCCTATCCCCGTAACGCTGCATTTCCCATGGCCAATCGATCTAACCTGTACATCATTGGACTGTGGGAGGAAACTGCAGCACCTGGTTGAAACCCATGCAGACACGAGAGAATATGCAAACTCCACACAGGCAGGCGCCCATGGGTGGAATTGAACCGGGATCCCTGGTGCTGTGAGGCAGCAGTGCTAGCCACTGCGTGGCCTTAATATGTGGACAAAATTATGGAATGTAAATCAGTAAAGTTTATGCCTAAACTGTCGAATGGTCCAAGTCAGACTAGAATATTACAAGCGATTCTAGATAGTAAAATATAAGGGAAGCATTCAAGCAATAACGGTGGCTTAGAAAAAGAACTACAGACTGGTGTCAGAGAACTGTTATGAAGAATGTTGGAGAAAAATGACACCAATTTACTTTGAAAGGTGGTGACATTATAAGGGTCAATAATGGCAGAGAGGAGGCAGGAACATAAAAGCAGGAGTATGTTATTTAGTCCTTCAAACCTGCTCCACTATTCACTTAAGATCTTAGCTGATAGCTTTGTGGTATTGATTTGTAAAAGTAAATTCAGAAAAGATCACAGGCACAATGACTGTAAGTTTAAGATGAATGTCTTCTAATAAAGAGTGGATGATTCCCATTGAGAAAAAGCCTCAGAATTGCTTAAGAAACAGTTGAATGCCAATTATTATACTGCCTGAACTTCAAGAACTTCATTCTGAAGAAGGGTCACTAGACCAGAAACTCCGCTTTCTCTCCACACATGCTGCCAGACCTGCTGAGTTTTTACCAGCAATTTCTGTTTATGTTTATTTGTGGCTCTCCTAGGTCCCACTTTCATTGCTGCACTTAGCAAAATCCTAAGAAATCCATTTTACAGTGGCCTTGTTGACATCAGAGTATGTTAATGTTTGAGAGACATTTTGCTTGACACTGGAAGTTTTGCTTTTTTGTGGCTTTTTAAATTCGGGTTGCCATCTGGAGAGTTAAGGAGGCCAGCCCTACAACTTTGAGTGACAACTTGACAAAGAAAATATGGTTACTTTACTTCCATTTCTCCCAAAGCTGGACAAAGAAATATTGAGGAAACAGAAGCCTGCTCACCACATGATTGCATTTTAAATATATTTATACTAAAGGGAAAGATAATGTTTATTTGTAGAAGTAATAATTCTGCTGCATGAATTCATCCTGAAAGCACTTAATGCTGAAACCGAGTAAAAAGTCAAAAGATTAGCTGACATAATTTCCTCTGAAAAAAGTTATTGAAGATACTAAGCTACTGAGGAGCTAGTTCTTTACTCATTAAATCATACTAGGTTATAAACTGGCAAAACAATCACCTTAGGTAATCACATCTTTCCCTTAATTAGTGCTCAATTACATGCCTGTTAACACTGCAGTAAAAAACAGGAGACTACCTGGTGTTATATTAACAAACAGTTATTTTTAAACAAAAACACAAATTGGTCATTTCATCAGAGGCAAACACTTAAATTCTGCTACAGTTTACTATAATCTTGTCAATTTGTAACGATAATGTTTCAAAACAACATATCGTCCACCAAGTGTTACTGTTTCCCTTATGCACACTCCGTTATTTATATTTCTTTGAGGTCAATTAGTAAATTAGGGAGTTGATTTCTCCTGAAACACAGACAGTCAGATATCCAAGTTTGCTGACAGTGCCAAGATTGACGGCACATTAAACAATGCAGATGGGAGCAGAAGCTTACAAAGGGAGATTGATAGACTGAGAGTGGGTAAAACATGGAAAATGATGTACACTGGTCGGGGAATGAGAGCTAATCTACCTTGAATGCAAGAAAGATGGAGTAGAGCACGTTCTAAATGACGAGAAACTGGGGACGCTGTAGTAATCTGTTTAAGGTAATAAGTACAGAAAGCATAAAAGACTAAATGTACAACAATTAATCCAAAATACGAATTGTTCCAATACATTACGGGGCATGACTTGGACGGTAGCTTGCAGACAGCAGTAAGTGCTGATCATGGGCATGTGATCAGAGCAAGGAAGTATGCA